ACCAGCATGAGAAGCTAAAGGGCTGTCATGGAGCTCCTGCAGGATATTTAATCTAAGACTAGCTGGGATAACAGGTCGAAATTCGTTGTTGGAATTCGTAGTTTTTGTATAGAATAATAGACCATCTATTAGTTCGTAATGGGCCGCCCTATTTCTTATCGCCACAATATCTTGGTGGCTAAAATTTTCAGGATGCTTTAAATACTCATAAATGCTTCCAAACTCAGGATCCTTACCCAGTTCGGTTATTACAGTTTCTCGGGAATTTATTGTACATGCTGTGAGCATTGCCACCTTTACAGTATTACCTTCTTCATCTATTTTTAATTCTGGATAGGGCATCCTGCTACGATATTTTCCTTTCCGGGGGTATGCTTGATTACCAGAAATTATACCCCTTGTAAGCTTGAGTGCCCATCTTATTAACCTTGAGAGATAAATTTTTTCCTGAGTATATGCATTGATGATACTTCTAGTTACCGCCGCATGATCAGAGAGTACACTGTTATTGGCGCCACTTCCAAAATAGACTCAGAACTTTTGCACTGCTAACAGAACTGCAAGTGCCTCTCTCTCAGTCGCGGAATAATTTATTTAAAATTTCTTGTTTGAGTTTCATTTAAAGTTCGGCTAAAAAATGCCACGGGCTGCTGATTTTGTGAAAGTACCGCTCCTCCCGCTTAATCCGAAGCATCCGCTGAAATTTCTAAATTCTCATCCTTTTCAGGAAATTTCAACACAGGGGCTTGCGTTAATGCTTGCTTTAATTTTTCGAACGCACTATTGGCTTCGGCCGTCCACGAGAATCTTGCCTTTTTCCTTTTTAATTTTAACATTGGTTCAGCAATAGCTGCAAAATCTTTTATAAAGGACCTATAATATGAACAAAGTCCTAGAAAAGAAGAGAGCTTCTTCGCCGTGTTTGGAGTCGGATACTTTTGTACAGAAATTATTTTTGATTCGTTTGTCTCGATTCCTTTCTGAAATATTTTGTAACCTAAATATTTTAATTCAGGGGCTGCAAATTTGCACTTTTCGACATTAACTTTTAGACCGGCCTCATTTAATAAAGCAAACACCTGTCTTAAATCCTGTACATGTTGGTCGAGATTATCACTAGTAATAATGATATCGTCTAAATAGATAAATGTGGATTTTCCAAGAACGGGCCTTAACACAATGTCCATACATCGCTGAAATGTTACCGGTGCCCCTGAAAGGCCAAACGGCATACGCAAAAATCCAATTTTTCCATCCAATTTTTCCAATTTTCTCATCCAATTATTCCAAAAAACTGGTTACCGGTGAGTTTCCATTAAATGTTGCTTCTGGTTTCATCGAAGCGCGCATGGTCTGGACGATGTAACCAAATCCTTCCAGGGCGGCAGCTGGCATTTCTGGATTCTGAGCTGCTTCTGCAGTCAGCACAGGTTCTTCTTGAAACTCGGCCATGGTTATTCTTCTTCGTTGGGCGCCACTATCAGGTTCAATGTTCCGTCTTACTTTGTTTGGGAACATGCAAGGACCTGACTCGGAACAGGGAGCTTACTAAAGCTATGTTCAATAACTGTGGGAAATAGACAAGATCCACAGGAAGGGTATACAAAACCTTTTATTTTTCACTCTTTACAATAATTTCCGTACTTCGGAATACAGAGACCAACTACTTGTGGTCTGAACGTAAGAATAAAAATATAACTAAACTCTAACTTAACTTTGGAATCATAAACATGGAAGATTGGCTTTATATTAACAGGAAGCCGTATGTAGTACAGAGAACTGTTAACACTACAATACGTTTAAAAATTATCACGAGGATTAAACCTCTGGCCTGGAAGGCAACCAGCAACCGAGTAAAACTTCTAAGGCAAGCGGCCTGCTTCGACTAACTCCTTCCTCCCTCTCGCTTGGCAAAAAGCCAACAACTTAAGTATTTGGCGTTCGCCAGACAAATTTGCATAAATAAGTTAACGCTTTTAATTCTGGCCGGAAGTAGAAAATAAGAAGTGATAGTAAAGATTTAAAATAAAATAAACGTTAGTAAAACTTAAGATCCTTACAAAGCCAAAAGTAAATCAAACCAGAAACTGGTTTACATTGTTTTCTAAACTTTCATTTAAATGATAGTTAATGTATGCAATAAGACATTCTTCAGAAATAACCGTCATATTTTCTTAATACAAAAATAATTTATATAAAATTTTTTAAATAAAAATAATTGTGTAATCTAAATACTCGTATTAGTTATTAAATATTTTATGTTTCTTTCTTTGAAAATAGTGTGTACCAAGCGTGCAATATTAGTATTATATATAGTAAAATATTAATATTATGTTTGTATAAGATATATTGCTGTTTTTAATACATTTTTGATAAGGAGCTAGCATTGGAATAAATTTCAAATTAAGTAAATAATACTCAAAACTAAAACTGAGATAGTTTTCTGAATGGTGTTACTGAATCTTGTGCTTTCTTGCGATAAATAAATGCTCGCTTTATACAGATCAGATGTAAACAATTTTTATATCTAAGGATTTTATCTACTCAGTTGTTACTGAAAAATATTCATACAACTTGGTAGTTCAATGCTTCGTTATCAGTTTTTTATTCTAGAGGAATTCCTTTGTTTTTTACTCAATCTTTACGACCAAACGGATGTCACGTTTATTTGCAGGAAATGACTGACGCAGATCAGCATCCTGTCATGTCTTAAGCAGATATCAGATGAAGATGATCCTAAAAGAGGAAAATGAAACAGTAGTTTGTAGTTGTTAAAGAAGGGAATAATTTCGAGCCATGTTCTCATTTATTTATAGCAACCATAAATTTATTTATATATACATTTAAGGTTTAACGCTTTGCTCACTCCGATTTATCTTTATAAATCGTCAGTTTCAGTTAGAAAGTTATGTTCGGTAAGAAAGCGGTTTTTAACGTTTCCTAAAAAAGTTTTAGAACATCCGCTTTTAATATATGATATTTGTTTTAGTTTACTGCTTCATCAAAACATGAAAAAAACCTTTATATGTGCTTCTTCAGTAGAATATTTTGTACGAAATGGATAGCAACAAGTGAAGTATATAGCGCATACTTATATCCAAAATATACTTTGAAATAGTACAAAAGTGCCTTGTTTTGGTAAAAAGATCATAATGAAATATTAGGCAGACAGAAAAGAAACTTTTAATATCACGGCGTGCTCAATACTCGTGATGAGACATATCGTCGCTTTTTAAAATGTGACACTCGGTCATGTAGTGTTTCATGCGAACTTCATTTATCCTTATTACTTTTTTTCTGAGATTTCTAGTAATTTTTGATTTCATAATATCATGATAACTTTATTGCACATAGCATGTTGGTTTATGATTTAAAGATGCAATTAAAATATAATACTTTAATTAAAAAATTTGAAATTATTTAGGATTGAATTATATCTACTACTTATTGGATTGAATTAAATCTACTTCGCCGATAGCGCATAAACCACAATGGAATAAATGAATTCTTTAAAATTCACTCTAGTATTTGTTTACCATAGCGACACTCTGGCGCTAGATTCACTTAACAGTATTAAATAATTATATAACAGTTAACTTATAATTATATAACGGAAACTAAGTTAACTGTTATATAATTATTTTATTATATATTTCGTTCATATTATAACTCATAATGCACAAAATTTATATCATTTAAAGAATAGAATTATCTAATCGTTGCCACATGTTCTATTCAAATACTATAATAAAGCTAGAATGATGTATAAAAGAAATTAAGCAAAGAAAACAAAAAAGGAACAGTTTTTCACAGACGATTGAGTATTTCTCATTTAATTAATTCAGTTCTCACTTCGCGAGAAGGCAAAAATACATAAAAACTTAAAAATATCTATATTAAAAATTACGAAGTAAATCTCAAACACTTATTTCCTCGAAAAAATTCCAGAAAGAATTAAGCATGATTTAATTGGCAATAATAAATGAATGCGCTATCTTTGTTGTTGCGAAGCTAAGTTTCTCTAGATTGGCAACAAATTCACTAGTCTCCTGTTTCAAATGTAAACATCAATGGCCGCCATTAAAAAAGGCTTAGCGGCAATTAAACAACTTTAAAATTGCTGATATTTCTAAAAATATTACACACAGATTTACTAAAGACATAAAATCCTTAACCGGAAGATAAAAACAACATAATTCAATCATTTTTAAAGCAAAAAATGTACAATTTACAAACATATAAAAGTAAAGAAACTGAGATCACTGAGCCGGGTAACAGAGTGAATATATATATAAATATATTTATATACGTTTGGTGCGGCCAATTGCAACCAAAATACGAGGTGCACATCTACATGTTATAGCAGTCCTATATACAAAATTTCAACGTTCTGAGGCTTCTCGTTTTTGAGTTATGCGAGATACGTACGTACATACGTTCGTACAGACGCCACGAAAAATTCTCTTCAGAATTAATTTTAAAGCAGTTTTATAATTTTTTGAAGGAAAAGAGTATTTTATCTGTCCTTACGTACAGATATCACGCAAAAACGTCGTTAAATTGCATTCGATAGCGGTCAGAATGGATATTTTCGGTGAAATATGCTGCCTGAAACTTTTCGCGATTACAATACTTCCTTTTTACTTCGTACAAGGAAGTAAAAAATAATACTTCTTTATGGCTTGCTCTTAAAGTTCAGCTTTGGGTTTTCAGTTTTACTTGAGATGTTCGTAATTTTCTTAGCTTCTTCGGCTATAAAAACAATTTTAAGATCCTGTTAAGCTCTTTTCCCCTTTCCTTTCTTTATTATTATCACTCGAATGAACTTTGCTTGCCTGCTCTACATTTCCTTCAAAATTACTCTGTTACTTGTATGAGCTATTTTAAACTTATTGTATATTTATAAGTATCATATTTAAAAAACTTGGTAATTTATACATTTATACGAGAAATAAAAACGTAATAATTTTTGGAATCAAAACATTTTAAATGTTACATACCTTGTAGTGCATACCTTTTCTTTCTGGCTGCATCCGAATGCCCTATTTTGTCTTTTACACCACAACGTGGGGTATTCATCATGGTAATTGTGTCATTGTCCAATTCACCTGCAATATAAGTTATTTGTGTATAGCTTATTATGCTTTAGTGCATACTTCCCTGAATAAGTCTAAAAATTAATAAAAAGGTACTAAATATATAAATAAAAGACTGAAACTGCGCCAGTACATGCTACGAAAAATAATCAAAACATTGTTTAATATGCAGTAAATTTGAGATTAAAAAGTGTAAATGCATTTTTAAAGAAGACTAATTTCTTTTTTTTTTTTTTTTTGAAAATACAAACTTTCGTCTTCTAATTATAGAAATAGCAGGTGCTTAATTTCTAGAATTAGAAGTGTCGGAGCCCTATTAGAGGCCGTACAGTAAATAAAAAGTAGGTAAAAAAATAAAATAATAACAATAATAAAAGAAAATCTGAAAGGATTTAGATTTTAACGACGCGCCAGAGTATTTTGTTAAGATATTTTATACTCTCGGTTGAGCACGAAGACAACAAATGTCCTCTCGGACTCGCTCCTGCAAACACAACTTTTTTATCTTTTTTAACTTAAATATTAAACATCGCTTCTTCGCACTTATACCACATAATATTCAGAAGCAAAATCACAAACTTTTAAAAAGCAGCCTATTTTTAGAGTTCCCAATAACGTGTTGATATACATTTTTCTGTTCTTTCAGGTTTTTTAATAAGACGACTTACACAACATATTTTTTCTTTTTAAACATGGTTTTGTTTCACTTACGCCGCCCTAAAATTCAACGAAAAATCGCAAAATTTCTATAAACAGATTGTATTCAGAATTTCCGATGTAGTGTTAAATGTTGCAATTATTTTTTTCCAGTCTTTCTCAGTTGATCATATGAATGATTAGATATCTTATAGTGAATTATACAGTTGTATAATTCTATAGTGAATTATACAACTTTTTTGTCTTTTTATTATTAACTTTTGGCCTTTTTAACTGTATCGATTAAACATCACTTTATTCGCACTTACACCACGTAAAATTCAAGAACAGAATCGCAAAGTATTTAAACAGCAGAATATCTTTGGAATTGCCGAAATAGCCATACATCTTTCCCTGCAGTTTTTATATTCGTTACATTACATCTTTAAAAATAATATATTGCGATAACAGTTGGTGATAACATCCTTTTATTTGTGTTTTCATACATTTTTTTTTATATCTTCTGCATTATTTTTTTGAAAATAATACACGGCGGTAACATCTGGCGGCATTAACATTTTATTTGGGAAGTGATACGTACGCAAATGTGATATGAACAAAGAAGGGAGGATCGAGACTAATACCAACTCTGATGCTAAAAAGTAATGAAAAACTAAAATTAAGTAAAACGCAAACAGATAAAAATTAAGCTGAATTAAGGATAAATAGTTAAAAATAAATAAAAAAACTGGAGTTTTCCTTATCTGGTGCTCCAGCTTGAATTATCATTTCATTCAAAATCTGAGAAAATGTCGCACTCGTGCTTTTGTGGGCTTCGGTTGAATTTAAGCCCTGCGAAATGAATAATATTCTGCTGTGCTTTTGATTTACATCTCGAAAAGCTTTTAGTTTTTGTACACACCTGATTTACGTCGAGGTTAACTTGATATCCATTATCTTATTTAAAGTTTTCTAAAAATTTCTTTACCTCTAAAGAAAGCGTACATAATTTTTTCAAATTTAATAAAACTGCAACTCGAAGATGAATTATTGCGTTTTGATTTATGTAATTTTAAGCTCTTCAGTTGCGTTATACGATAAATTCAGAAAAAAATCTAGTCTTTCCTTCCATTTTCCAGATTTTTTATTATAAATTAGTTTTTATAGTTATAGTTAAAACTGTTTAATAGAACGAGCACTTTGAAAATTATTCTGTTATCTGAGATTCATAACATTAAAACCATTTATCATGGTTTTAATATTATGGAGTTCTTGGAGTTCCATCCTCTTTTTCCACTTCAATGTTTCTGGAGGTGTTAAAAAAAGCGTGCCATTTCAGCGTTTCTTTCATATGATGGAAGAATTCTTTGTTTTCTTTAACAAATAGTCATCTCTAACCCTCAAAAAAATTAAAACTAATTTTTCTCTGAAAATTGTTTTGATGGCGTATCAGATTGATTCCATTAATTCCACATTAAATCAACTAGTTGGCTCAATGTCTGATTTAGAAGTAGATACTGAAAAATGAAATTCGTATATTTTGTATAGTTGCAGAAAAAAATTATGAATGAAACAAGGAAAATCGAAAAAGGGAGAGCTTTTTAAGTTGGCTGGAGAACATTTATTTCAACAAGCATACGATTTCTTCGAGTGTTTGGAGAATTATGGTTTTTAATTAGATTTATCGCCAATACTAGACCAATCTACAAAAGCTTTAAATTCAAATACAAAAGCATTTCATTTTCATTTAAAATGTATAGTTTTCAAAATATTTTAAAGCAATTATATTTCTAAATTTGACGTGGCCATCTCTCAAGATAACAACAGCACTGAACCATAATGAAATAAAAAAATTTTCGTGCTTACTGTATTAATTGTCAACACCGTATGATATCAGTGTAGTATATAACATTATCTGAGTCCGAAAGTTAAGGGCAGGAGTGTTATTGTGATAATATTTCACATATATTTCACACTTACATCATCTCTGATCATATTTTAGAATTTAATTTTGATTTATACAATTTTTTTGATTACTGCATAGAGTCTCGTTCTCTTTTGTAGCATAAAACTAACGATCTCTAAAAGACTGTATGAGGAATTATCCACAGGTCTCAATGATAACAAAAAGTCAGAAAAAAGGGTGTAAAACATCACTTTATTCAATAAAATATATTTGCACAGATGGTCCCCCTTGGGCTTATACAAGCCAACACTTCTGACTTAACTCAAACAGGTAAAATTGAACTTAAATTTATTAACTTTAGCCTAACAGCTCACAGAATAATTTAACGCGCGGGAAGGCTCTGAGTCTTAGCAGTCGACGTAACCCAAGCCTAATGGCTAGAAGCACTCAACGCCACAAAATCAAATCGCTAGTAATTCAAAATAGCAACGTACCCTTCAAGCAGGTATAAACACCTTCTAAAAATCACCTTCCAAAACCTTGCCTTAAACAGCACTTCTTTCTACCTCAGCTTGAATGCACGCGCCCTAGCTTATTAGCATTCTGGCAGGAAAGCGTACGTAGAAACGAGACTGAAAGGAAAGTTGCTTTAACTAAAAATTAACTGTTAGTAAACTAAATAAATCCCCACAATTGGGAAGAATAATTTACTATGCCATGCATTTTCCTCATTAATTCATGCGTTTGAATAACATAATAACATTATTGTTATGTGTCTCTGGACCGTATCTCGGCAGCAAGTTCTCAAGACATTTAAGAATCAGCATCTTCACATAAGGCCTGGACACCAGCAGCTTAAACAAAACATCCTCGGGATGCTAAATTACCATGTCCTCACAACAACTGAAAATCAGTATACTCTGGATCCAGGGATAATGCGACTTAAACAGCACATCCTGAGGATATTCTGTGCTATGTCGGATATTGGAAATATATATTTTATTTTACTTTCTTTGAATGAGGTGGAAAGAAAAGTGAGAAGAGAGATCTGAGACTATATATCCAACATGAAAAGGAACAGAACAATGAAGAATGAAAACAGATGCCTTAGCTCACTTTGTGATCAAATGGAGAGCAGTCTGTTCCCTAGTGTATTAGACCTTAACATAATCCCAAAAGATGAAAGAAGTCATTCTGTAGAAGACAACAGTGTTCCTAACAGTTATTAATAAATTGCTGTCCATAAACTAGATACATTGTAATTGTCGAAGTCTCAATCCTTTCGTTCCTAATGTTGATATCAAAATTAGCATCTATACGAGCTTCTGGATACGAATTTGACATTCATAATTATATAATGAGAATAATGCTAACTATGCAAAACTTCTGCATTAATACATTTATTAAATTAATTATGCGGTTGTATGTTTGATCAGATATAGAGAAATGCGATTAATTTATGTTTTCTTTTTCAAGCAATATAAGATCTAATAATTTGCATACTGTTACTATGCTACAGATCACTCAAAAATTGTAGCTTTTGCAGATGATGTAGCTTTTATTACAAGTGGCCGTACCAGAGACATTTTACAGAATAATTGCAACGAAACACTCCAGTTATTTAAACAACTTTGCAAAATTCAAAAACTACAAATTTCACATAGTAAGTCCCAAGTCTTAGTGATCCATAAACCAGGACAAAATATAACTAAAGCTTTAGCTCTAAAAATTGACAATCAAAAGATCAAATCTGTAAACACAATCAAGTACCTCGGTTTAACAATCGACAAGAAATTCTCCTGCATTCCTCATCTACAAAATATTAAACTTCGTACAACATCAATAGCTAACTGCCTACGATGTATGCATGGATATAACTGGAGCTTAAATCCCCATATAACACGTATTCTTCTAAAAACAGTCATCTCAAAAATGGTAAATTACGGAGCCGGAATTTGGGCACAACCAATGACAGTAAGAAAGATGAAATGTTTAAATTCAATTCAAAGGCCTTTTACTCCTTTGCATTACTCGGGCGTATCGCACAACTTCAAATATAGCACTTGATACTCTAGCTGGTACTCTTTCGTTATCAATCAGTGCAGAAATGGAATGCACCTATATGAAAGTCCTCCAACTTAACCAAGCCGCAGAATTCAACAACCAAACCTTTTGGCCATCCAACTATGAAATGAAAATTAACCCCAATCTTATCCATCCAGCGCTTCGCTTCAGCAAAATAATATTCCCCACGTCTGAAGAAAATTCAAGTTCATCTCCAATTGCTTATACTGATGGATCAAAAATTGAAGGAAAAGTTGGTTCCGCAGTCTTTTTTCAAATTACCCCCTCAAATATCATCAAATGGAAAGGCCATCTCCATAATAATAATAGTGTTTTCCAAGCGGAATTGTCAGCTATAAAAGCAGCGATTGAAATAGCCATTCTCAAAAATCTCAACGAATTTAGC